CACAACATTGGATAATTCATACATCCACAGAAAATGCACTAGTAAACGAATTTTAGTTTGAAATGGTCAATTTCATCTTAACATCATCTAAAAAATCTGAACAACAAATAGTAAAATCATGTTTAGTCTTGCAGTAAATTTTCCGATATGGCGACAGTGGTTAATTCAGTACTGTTTACACAATTCGCTTCCAGTCAATTCAGTGCTGTTTGATAGGTTTTCAGACAATTTAGTACAAGTAAAGAATAACTACTTAACAGTTTGAATAGATCTTAATTGACTGCACGCGAATTGTCGGAACAGTACTGAATTTACCTCAGCAGATAAGTCTGAAAATGAACCAAAAAACTGTGGATTGATTGAAAAAAGGGGGGTTTTAGTAAAATTATTTTAATCTATATAACATCAAAGTACAAATTACATTTGTTTCTTTCCAATGTATTTATGAACAGTTTCAAATAGGTGTCAATGGTAAAATTGATTGAATGCAATAATTATACATTAAACACAGAAACAAAGATATGTACACTTACAAAGCTTTGTTTTGATAGAAAAAAAAGAAAGCGTTATTGCCGAGGGAAATCGAGGGATAAAATTATACTTCGGTAACAAATAAAAAAAACTAGGGACAGCAATACGCAAATAAACTTAAAAAAAGAACAACACGAAAATTGCAGAAAAACACAAAAAAAAGGGGGGGGGGTATATTCAGATTACGCTTTTAGTTAACAGTAACCGTCTCTTGCAAGAGAACCGCCGAGTTAAGGTCAATTTCAGTGAACGAGAAAGAAAAGATGGGGCCTACGTCATACGGGAAAATTGTGAATATTTTTTTTTCTTTTCGTGTATAGTAGGTGAATAGGTCTGATCGATTTCTCCGGGTATTTCATGGCTATGCATTTAGATATTATAACTATATTAATTTATTTTTACAAATAAAAGACATAAAATTTGGATCAAAATTCATGGAAATGATAAAAGTTAGGGAAAATCCGATGAACAATAAAAGAATTTAAATTGATTGCACGCTTGTTACCTTTTCATGTGTACTCATTCATTATATTATAGAGGGTTCAGTCTATGGAAAGTGCGAATCGAGAAAACCGTTTCTTATGTGGAGTCGCGATATTTTCTAATATGAAATTGAAAATATGCAGATACTTCATGAGGAAAAAGATGTTTTTTGCAATTATAAATTTTTTTAGTATTAAATTATATAAATACGTTCAGTCCGAAATTAATTCACGCGACAAACAAAAGAGTTTTATGTACTGTATTACCATTAATCGATAGAGTATGAAATCGGTTATTATCAGTTTTTCAAGGTCGGTCTAAAGGAAGAAATGGAACAATTGACCAGTTAAACGTGCAACAAGATTTAATTTCTTTATGGACATATAAGCTGTTAACCTATCATCTAAATATAAACGAAAATTAAGTCTTGAAATATGATCATTATGAAAGTAATAGCAACAGTTAATGTCCTTGTAAAAACTGTACTGCTAAGTTTTTCTTTTGCAAATAAATAATTAAATGCTATTTATTTTATTATCGATGCGATATTTTTTTAATGTAGTTGCAGTATGTTTTTATTGTAACTATAGGTTTCATGTTATATGAGGTATCAGTTTTACCGCAAAGCTTGCTGTCAAAAATCAATTTTTGAGACATCTTTCGAAATTCTCAATTGTTCTTCAAACATATTTGTAATAGTTTAAAGTTACATAGCAGATGTTTTCCACTTGTTCTTTTGATCGACAGCGTTTGAGGAAGGATATGTGCAGAAATATCACCTTTGGAGATTGGGAATAATTTTCTGATGCATGCTGACGTTGTTGTATCAATGGCCAAAATAGTATATCATTCAACGGCGATACTACAAATTACTTCTCTTTGGCTTGTGCCGGGTGGATATAGACAAACAGTTGAAAACGTAATACAGCTCGTGTGATTGTCATGCAAAACGGAGCGTTTTGAAAGTTGTCGCTGGTCACAACACAGAGTCAATATCGATTCAATATCATGAATGACATTATGCGAAATTTGCAATAAAATATAACTATGGCTTCATAAATGTTATGTTTTCAATGTTGTATAAATAGTCTGATCGTTTAACCCATAATATAAACATTCCCATAGAAAAACAAACAGCTACCGGTCTTCGTATGGAATTAAACGCTTAGCAAAAAAGCCACATCCCCTCATAAGCTATAAAATGTCTTTACGGACTGTTGCATTTTGAGCCGACAAGTCTAGCTCAGTCTACAGTTTCAACATTCATATCTCATAAAGATCTTGACCTGGATATGCATTTAACTTGCAACTGTACACAAGCATACGATCAATTCATCTATCAGTAACTCCTAATTGCCAGAAATTTACATTTCTTTTCAAATATTGTGTAACTTGACTTCCATTATAAACAAACTCAAAGACAGTTACTGGTCGAGCGATTTTCAGAAATGTTTTATGGCTACAATGGCCAGTGTTTGAAATATAAGATTACATCTCTTAAAGACAGAAATTTTCACTTAAACTGAGTATTGATTGTTAAATTGTTAATTACTCTTTTACGGTAAGAAAAGAAAGATGTTTGTCAAAAGAACCAAACAGACAGTTATTTCACTCATAAATCCTGAAGATCTTCTTGCTTTCGACAAGACGACAATCATTATTACTAGTATTTTTTTTTTTATTTTTCTTTTTTTTTTTGGGGGGGGGGGGGGGACTTTTTTCTAAATAAATTGTAATATTACAATATTATTTTCACATTAATTATCATTTTTCTTCCTATTAACGTGAATGTTTTGACACCAAAACAAATTATATATAATAGAACTGTTCATTAAAAGTGTGTAATCAAAAATGCCAAACTATATATATATATATATATATATATATATATATGTGAAAATTTACTTTCTGAAGAAATAAGAAATATATAAAGTATCTTTAATTTTGTTTGTATTATGTATGATTCACCATAAAACAAGATAAATTGCTGAACGACCCAGACCCCCTTCCCCCCTCCTTTCAAAATTGTGAATATCAGATGCATTTACATTAAATACAATACCTTAATGTAATTAGATACACGTATGAAAACGGTAACTGTCAGAACATAATTATAAGGATACATTTTGTTCAACTGTCGCCTGGTGAGATTAATAGTTCAAGGTGAAACTTTATGATTCCATATGGCCTGGTGTTGATTGACTTTTAATTTTATGACTGAAGATATGGTAATGTAATCATAAATGGCATCCGCATATATGTGTAACATATTCAATATATCTGCTAAGTGTTCTTCACAGCGTGAATCTGTCCATTTTTGCGTGAAGGTGACATATCAAACCGTTTATTTTGCAATTAAGATTAATTATCAACATAACAGTCAAAGTAGTCTGTTTTAATTATTTTAATCTGTCAGTGTAATCAACATTGTTTCATTAATAATTATTTCCAGTCAAATGCTCCTTGTGTAAATGTTAAGGCTAATACGTGATTTAGTGATTATATTTTTGCCACTGCATGCTTATCAACCGCTATTGGGTGATGCTCCCAGTTGATGAATTCTCGGGAACTATCGTGTGATTTCATAACTTGACTAATTAGGTTAGACATGCACAGTCCTTTCCGAAACTAGAGTATTACAACAAAGCAGATTATACCATCTAAAAATGGCATTACAAAATCGGACACCAAAGTAACGCTATTTTTTTTACACCTGCTACAGAAATAGTTCTCGGCCATTTCTTCTGACTGTTCTTATTGGTCGATGTTCTTTATTATTTGAAAGCAAAAGTTACAATTTTGCAGGCGACGATTATCTTTAAATCGGGACGCGTTACGCACTTCGGAAGCGAAAATAACGCTAAGAAACGACACACAAAAGCGGCCGCATAATCTTTATAATTTGTTTATTTCAAATCTCTCATCGATTTTTAAATAAAAATAAAGGCATTTTAAGGTTGAGTAACAATTTCTCTCACCGAAATACACAAATTTATCACTTTTCTATCGTTATTGGAAACGATTCAAATACCAAATTATTGCCAATATTTACAGTTCTACAATCTGTCGATACCTGTAATTTGGTAATGCACAAGGTCATGTTTTTCTCTGACTGTTAATGACGTCTGTAAACTAAATCCATTGGATGTTTGATGTGTCCTGATTGATATTTTAGTTTAAGATACATGCTTTTTTTCTAATCAGTTGTTATTGGCTTTGAACTAGATGTCAGTAACTGCGAGTACTCTCAGATATGTACTTAGTGTCTTTTTTGTTGTGGTTTGCCACGTCCGGTCTGTGCTTTCTATCGATCTGATGAGTTCGGTTTTTTTCAACGTAATTTGATATTGTGTTCATATATTGTGCTTTTACACCACTGTCCCAGATAAGGGGAGGGTTTAGCGCCCGCAAACATGTTTTACCCCGCCACACTATATATGTGCCTGTCCCAAGTCAGGAGCCTGTAATTCAGTGGATGTCGTTGGTTCATCTCTGTCATATTTAATTATCGTAAATTGTTTTGTAATAAATCAGGCCGTTAGTTTTCACAATTGAATTGTTTTATATGTTTCATGTCGGGGCCTTGATAGCCGATTATACGGTATGGCTTTTTCTCATTATCGAAGGCCGTACGGTTGTCTATAACTTCTTACATCCATTTCAATTGAACTTTGGTGGATACTTGTCTCATTGGCAATCATACCACGTCTCCTTTTTGTTTTGGGATTGTAAGTTTTCCTGCCGCATGTCGGTGGATCTCACCAAAAAATCTGGCTTCCTCCACCAACAACAAATGGCCACTACGATATATAGCCAAGAGTACTGAAATTGGTGTTAAATACAAACAATCAACCAATCAAATCATATGTTATACAAGATCGATCAACTATGAATGTATTTACCTTCTTCCGAAACAATTAATAATTCACTAATCAGTAAAACACACATTGAACTTCATTTCATGCAGATAATATAAAACCATTGCATATTTAAGATATTTTTATTTCTTCGCAACAATTCCCTTGCATATAAATCTATAATCTAGACAATAACAGATCTTTAAAATAAAAGGCACATTATAATAAATTTTTCTTCAAAAATTTAACAAGGTCATTCATTGCACGAGTTCCTACTTGAAATGACATTGGACCGTCAAAAAAGAAAATCATACCATGAAAACCATCTGCATAATGTGCCAAATGCACTTTAGCACCAATCGTTTTTAGGCGCTGATAATAGATTAGTCCGTCATCACGTAAAACGTCATATCCGGCTGTTAACACATACGTAAGCGGCAAGTCTTTGTATTTTGCGTCCGGCACCATCAAAGGTGAAAAATCAGGGTTTAAAATTGTCTCTTGTATTTTATCTGATAATTCAGTTTTTCCAAAATTTGTTTTTTTCTTCATATTTCGTAAACTAGGTGTTCTTATATGTTCCGTCATGTACCAATCTGGACTAACATATTTAGCATACAATATTTCTTTAAGTTTTTGGGATGTGTGTCTGTTAGCTAAGATATCATCAATATAGTTGTAACTGATATTTCCATAATTTAGCCAATATGTCAACATTGACACATCGGTAAGCATTCCTGGAATGTAATCTTTATTTTCAATATATGACGGTGTTTGTAGATCAAATAATTGTAAACATGGATAAATTGGGACAGACATTTTGATTTCTTTCTTCATTGCCATAGCAACGGCTGCTGATAAATGGCCTCCTGCACTGTCACCGGAAATGGCTACACGTGACGGATCTACATGTAAGGATTTTGCATTATTGACGACGTACTTAGTTGCTGTTAAACAGTCTTCGAAGGGTATTGGATGAGGATGCTCTGGTGACTGTCTGTAACTGTAAAACAAACATATAAAATTATTTTTCCACATTATTTTTTTCTTTTTTGCAATTGTTTAAATCTTATGAAAAGAAGATATGTGTTTGTAATAACAATTCCAAACCAACACTAAACACAAATATGTTTCCAAAAGACACCAGGTCCACTCACACTATCATTTTTCAATGTGCAATGAGGTTCACGTCATAATAAACATATGTGCTAAGTTTCAAGTTGAAGTAACCACAACTTCATGGTAAACTATAACTAAACCTTAACCTTTCTAAGACGGGGCATAAAAAGAAAGCTTAAGCTCCATTTGATGGCACAAAAGAAAAAGGTTTTAGCCAACAAAGTGTTAAAACTAGTGATTTCTACTTAATTTGATTGAAGGCCTCAAACAGAAAATGCTATTTCAGGTGTCTTTGTTATTTCGTTTAGTATGTAACAGTGTAAATGATCCAGGCGGTGTGTTTATCACACTTGTATATTACAAATAAAGTTGATAGTTTCTCATCGTACATGTGTAAATCAAATATTAGCAAACATCTTGGATAACCATAGCAGTCTATTCAATTGAAGAAAATTAAATGATGCATAATTGTGTACACTCACCTCACAGAAACTACAACCATACCAACTCGTTTAGCTAGTGCCCTTGTTGCTCCGTCATACACATCTAAAAAAAAATATGTTAAGCATTGATATTTATGACCATTCATACAACAATAAAAATAGTAATGACAAATGTAGGGTACTCTTAAATGAAACAGATGTTTATATACTGTAGATGGGAAGATTTTCAATTATTTCGTAATAACAATAAATGCGCGTAAATGCCCCTTTCGCGATTCATTTGTATACAAATCAACATTATATATGTGAAGGGACAATTTCCGTTCGATTCGCCAATTTGACCCCAGAGTTTAAGTTTTGTATATTAAAATCGCAAAAAATAACAACCCGACAAAAAATTTGACATATACAGTATATTTACAGTATATACAAATCATATCTTTCGTTTTCCGACATTATAGCTCTAAGCATATCCTGTAAATAATATTAGTAGCAATGGACCAATTCAGATCTCTTTTTTTCGCTATCAAAAATAAACCTTGAAAACACAGGCACATGTGTCTGAAAAAAATTACCTATTCACTTTAATATAACACTGTGTGATTGAAAAGTCAAAACGTACATGAAATAGGGATCATGCACAAAACAGTCACCTTTCTAAAATAAAATGCAGCTCTTTGTAAATAACTCCATTAAAGTCAAACGCAGTTTTTTCTTCTTAACTTTGATAAAGATTGATAATTTCAATATATCTAATTGTTTGTTTCGTAAAACATGATAGTTATTGAATACTGCTAATGGTATACATTGTATTAACAATTGTACCTATATATACGTACAGATAACCATCACCAACCAACGCCATGTAAATACACTGAAGTTGGTCTATACTTGTAACTACCTACAAATAACCAGGACCAAACACCGCCATTATAATACATTAATATAGGTCTATACGTGTAACTACCTACAAATAACCAGGACAAACCACCTCCATATAATACACTAATGTAGGTTTATATGTGCACCTACCTACAGATAACCAGGACCAACCACTGCTATGATAATACACTAATGTAGGTGTATATGTGCACCTACCTACAGATAACCAGTACCAACTACCGCCATGATAATACACTAATGTAGATTTATATGTGCACCTACCTACAGATAACCAGGACCAATCACCGCCATGATAATACACTAATGTAGGTTTATATGTGCACCTACCTAAATAACCAGTACCAACCACCGCCATGATACATTTTGTAATGCACTAATGTAGGTTTATATGTGCATCTACCTATAGATAACCAGTACAAACCACCGCCATAATAATACACTAATGTAGGTTTATATGTGCACCTACCTACAGATAACCAGTACCAACCACCGCCATGATAATACACTAATGTAGGTTTATATGTGCACCTACCTACAGATAACCAGAACCAACCACCGCCATGATAATACACAAATGTAGGTTTATATGTGCACCTACTTACAGATAACCAGGACCAACCACCGCCATGATAATACACTAATGTAGGTTTATATGTGCACCTACCTAAATAACCAGTACCAACCACCGCCATGATACATTTTGTAATGCACTAATGTAGGTTTATATGTGCATCTACCTATAGATAACCAGTACAAACCACCGCCATAATAATACACTAATGTAGGTTTTTATGTGCACCTACCTACAGATAACCAGGACCGACCACTGCTCATTTGTGTATGATAATACATTAATGTAGGTTTATATGTGCAGCTACCTACAGATAACCAGGACCAACCACTGCCATGATAATACATTAATGTAGGTTTAAATGTGCACCTACCTACAGATAACCAGGACAAAACACTGACATGATATTACACAAAAACTGGTATAAACATCTCTCTACCTATACAAAACCACCAACAACCGCCATAATAATACATTAATGCTAGTCTATACATTCACCTACATACAGATAACCATGACCAACCACCGCAATAATAAAATATTTAAATGTTAATTTTTGCGCCTGTCCCAAGTCAAGAGCCTCTGGCCTTTGTTAGTCTAGTATGTTTTTTTATTTAAGTTCATTTATATGTTTTCGAGTTTAGTGTGACGTCCATTTTCACTGAACTAGCACACAATTTTAGTTAGGGGCCAGCTAAGGACCACCTCCGGGTGCGGGATTTTCTCGCTGCATTGAAGACCCATTGGTGGCCTTCGGCTGTTGTCTGCTCTTTGGTCGGGTTGTTGTCTCTTTGACATATTCCCCATTTCCATTCTCAATTTTAACTATAATAAATACAATAGGTAGGTCATGTAATAGAGACCGTCCTGAAGGAAGGTCGGGGTAATTTGGACTGACACTGGAAAATGAGGGTACATGGGATAGGGACATTACATTTTGTCTTTCAAGACCTGTCAAAGTCTTGTTACGGGTGTTTACGTTTAGAGAGCTCGACAATCTTTCTACACAAGGCATCGGAGTTAACGTCCCCATTCTGATCGGACGTGGCTGGTACTTGTACCTCCAGCACAGTCAAACGGACACCCTACTTTGGCAAGAGTTGTACTTCCATTCAGAAGAAGACATATTATATATATAGTGATTATATTTCTCTCTCCCAGTTACCCTTGGGGGCAGCGTGAGACTTAGTGATTACTGGGAATACAATGGTTTTGGTGTTACTCGATATACTGACCATTATGTTCTACGAACAAGAACAAATATAACCTTTTGTTCGAGGAATATAATAAAATCAATTGAAAAATTTATGGATATCAGTTAGTTTAAAAAACTTTAAAAACGAATTTGACATGCGTTCCTTTTATAGAAATGATTTTAATAATATTTCAATAATTTTAATACTTTTGATTGTACAGTGTATACAATTATCTTGTATTATCCGTTAGATGCATACATTTGAAAAAGAAATAACAAATAAATAAAAAATAATATTCATTGTGGAACTACCCCTTTACAACGGGGGCAAGCGCCAGCGTGGTATTGACACCTACATTATCAAAATATTTTAATGTGATTGTAGTAAAACATGTAACAAGATAGTTACAAATATTCAAAAGTTTGAATTTTTAAATAGCATAATGCATTAGCTTCGTCGTAAAAAATACATTGCAATAACAAGTTCATATTTGTATAGTTTATGAAATATGTTTGTCATCAATTAGAGGAGTTATAAAAACTCAAATTTTAAATTTAAAACTTTAAATTTTCGCACACAGTTTATGATAATATTTTGAAGTTTGTCAAGTAAAAAAGAAACTTCATTCGAAACATATGGAAGAGATTTGTTTCCAGTATGTGTTTTGCTCATTGCTGAAGGCCGTTTGTGACCTATAGTTGTTAATTTCTATGTCATTTGGTCTCAGTTGGAGAGTTGTCTCATTGGCAATTATACCGCATCTTCTTATCTTTATATTAACTATATAACATAAGTCGGAAAAACACAAATCATCACGAACTGTATTTGCACTAAGGGCGGCAACTCTAAAAAGCAGGTATCAACTTTTAGGCTATCGAAACATGCGTGTATGTCAGAAATTGTTTTGTTTAATACAGATGTAGGCGAGACAGAAGGACAATCTAAAATTCTTTCATAACGTGCAAAATATTTTCAGGTGCATTTAATGAATATAACTGAGCAGACTTAAAATGTTTGTTATTACATTTCTTTCGTTGGAGCGTAGCATTTAGATTAAACATATTTTATAGATCAAAAATGGCAAATGGATCAAACACATTTATTTCTAGTGTAGCATTTATCTGAAGACAATTCGTTGTTGCCTAATATGTTAGCCTTGTTGAACGCAAGTCGGCAATATTTGATAAAACACCACTGCCTAGCTACGTTTAACAACCACAAATGATGAATGCAATTTTTATTATACTTATTGACTGGGTATGAGTGGAATACATGTAGTAAGTTTATTGTCCCCCGAGGTGCAACATTTGCCCTGAAGCGTAGCTAACCAAAATTTATTTTACATTTGTAAGAGACAACGGACACATTGTGATGACAATTATCCGATTGTAAATGTACATTCCAATAACGAACAGGCAATTGTAAGTTTAAGGAGGTAGACCTAGATTAATGGAAATAACTCTTAAGATCACCAGTACGTTTGTGTCAGCTATTTTCATAAATATGTTCTAAGCTTCTAGGATACATAGATTATTTCCAATCTGTTTCAGGTAAATGCTTAAAATTCATTGACGAAACTTGACTTTTACAAACGCATAACTGATTTAAAGAGTTATCTCCCTGAACCAAGGACTACCCCCTTTAAGCTTCAATTTTTTTTAACAACTGGTTCCACCTTGTCTAATTCCTCTAAGGTTTTAGATCGCCGTCTTTTTTTTTAAGGTAGTCGGGAATCATCTTTTCAGCAGTTCGGACGACTGGTTTTGTGTTTTGGCATCCTTGTCCTTAATTAATCCTTCCAGATCTCCATACTGCCTACTTGTTATTGGAATGTATATTTACAATCGGTGTTGTGAGATTGCCTTCGAATATTAAGTTGAATATCATTATGTATGGTATCTGCCGCCACTTTTTTAAGCAGTTTTGTGTCAGAAGCACACTCGTGGTCATGAATTCTATTATGTGTCAACATGCATGAACGTACGATATAAATTGAGATAGGAAAAATCCATATGATTGAGCAGAGGGTATGCTACTATTGAAAAATGGGGCATTGACATTGGAAATTTAAAATTATCATGTGACGTTTTTCATAGATTTTTGTTTGAAGTCTATGTCAATATCAAGGAAAAGGTCAAGATAGGAAGAAGCCATTCTAGATTCGGTAGTCTTCATATCACAACATTACTTGGAAATTTGAAATATAAGCACTGACTGAAATGTGGGTTATAGAGTGGCAGGATATCTTGATTTATCTGAACTTCAAGTTAAAGAACTAGGCAAAATGGTTTTTTTAAGTCTTTGCGAGGGTTCTTATTTTTCAATTGCAATTAGGGTTGTAAACACCGTTATGTTATGTTGACTTATGCACCATTCGTATCAACTTTTATAATAAACAATTTTCAAAATTGCCTTCGGTGTCTTCAGTGTATCATCCATCGAATGAACCAAAGTCACAATCATTAATTTCGAGTTTATTTCATCTTTACACCTATCAACTGTCTCACAATACTGCGATTAACTGTAAGGGGTAAATAATACAACTGACCCTATTCTGCTTTTGAGAAAATAACGCTAATTAAAAGATTAAACTTAATGCATGCTTCTTTGAAATGTTAAAGCCAAGTTTCAACGGACTTCCCAGTTTTTGTCATCTTTTGGAATTTTGTCGGATCACAATTTCATAGCTATACAACTCAAAACCTTATTTTGCCTCTTTTAAAAAGAAAACTATTGCCGGTATTTTTAACGACCATTCTGTTAAAGAACAAATTCCGGGATATTTTGATAATACTGAGCTCCCTCTTATTTGTTATATTTACAAGAAATCTACCCGGAAATTTGTGTTTAATTATAGCCAATTGTGTAAAGATGTTAGTATCAGTGAAAATACACCTACTTCATGTAATTGCAGTAATTCCGAATACATTTATGGACCCATTTCCCATGTTATAACAGGAGATCTTAACATCGTTCAAGACCGAGAGTTAAAATCATTCCTCAGTAAAGGACCTAAATATCGCCCCCCGTCAATTATTAATTGGAATGAGTGTCGTAATATCATCCACGACTCACTCCATACTTACTGTTTGAAATGGATAAAACGGGAAAAAGCTGACAAAAAATCTTTGGACTCCTTTTTTAATTCAGTAATGAACATAGTTGATATACGTATTCAACATTTTAAAGAACATTTTACTCTTAACAATAACCACAATAAACCTATTTCTCGTATCAAACATAAACTAAAAGAACTAGCCAAGGAATTTGTTTTTATCCCGGCCGATAAAGCTGCTAATAATATTATTATTGTTTGACTTAATATTTACATTGAGGTTCTGAAAATCAGTATGTATACTAAAGAAATTTATCCTGTTGAACTTACTTTAAATAAAGCTAATACTAACAATGACCACTGCCCTTTCCTCGATCTTGATATCTATATCATTAATGGAAAGCTTAATACTAAAATATATGATAAAAGAGATGATTTTTCATTTCCTATCGTTAATTATCCATTTTTAGATGGTGACGTTCC